TACACGAAGACGTGGACCTGCATATTTAATTGTTTTTATCATATTCCAATACGAAATTTGAAACCATTACGCTTTGTAAAGTAGCTAAAATCATCAAAATACCGGTCATTTAGGGGTACCGTTATATGGGGCTATACGAAGATTCGGACTTGCATAAGTAATTTTGTCATAGCTTGCAGTTCCCCTTAAGATCTTTCAATACGAAATTTGAAACAACTCTGGTCTATAATGTCGCTAAAATCTTCAAAATATCGATTATTGAGGGGTACAGTTCTTTGGGGCTATAGAAAACGTTCGAAAGATATCATGCTTAAAACAGACAGACGGAAACCGCTAAATCGACTTAGAATTTTAAACTCGAGAATATACATACTTTGTTGGGTCTGATATGAGTATTTCGAGGAGTTACAAACGGAATGACAAAGTTAATATTCCCTGCATAGTATGGTGGAGGGTATAAAAATTACAAAAGGGATAATCGGATTAGAATTTATCCGACAATATGAAGTGGAAAGAGTTTATTATACTTTAGTTAGAGTATTCAATTTGGAAAAGGTGTTTCCATTAACCTAAGATTCGTGGTATTGTAAAATCAAACCAAAACAGTGTACAAAAGTTTGCAATTAAGTGAAAATTAAAGAAATTTTATTGGCAATCATTTCAATTTGCAACAAAATGACGTTTTTTGATGAGGTCTTTTAAAAATTCGATGCCTTAAAATTTAATATAAGAAAACTTTATGGCCACCCCATCTATCACTGGAAAACTGTATTCATAGTTAATTGAACATAAGGGAACAACTATTAAAACAGCCATCGTGGTATCTGAAATTACGTTCGTGAAAATTTATCCGTGTGGATTAGATGTAAAATTACGTCCCTCCTTTTGTGGCGTTACGGCGAACTCCAATGCTTGAATTGATAAATCTGCTTAATAAGTAAATATTTGCCTACAGTCGGATCTCTTTATGATTTTTTTTTTTTTTTTCAATTCCAAAGAGGAGTTACAAACATTCATAGTTAAAAACAAGCATATTTAATAACATGCTGGGCGAATGCAATTCCCATCTCTGTGATCTGCACATAATGACTTTTTCAACGATCTTTGAGTTTAGATTCGCCCCACAGTCTGCGCTTTTTGGATATCTATAAGATTTATATTTCAATTACAAGAGAGGAAGTACAAACATTCATAATTAAAAATATCCATACTCAAAAGATATGCTAATACTATAGGATGTAGCAGAAACCCGGGGTTTTTGGAATTAAGAATTTAAGATTAACCTTCTTTTCCACATTACTTTGACCACATTGCTTAATTGCTCTGGAAGTTGATGGCAATTTGAATTCTATTTGAATATTCATATGGATTTATGAACCTGAAAAGTGTTTCATCACACAAATAGTATGATATCGCCATTAACATGTAATCATAATTCCATTGAAAAAGGTAGGGCATGTGGAGGCATAGGTCATATAAATAAAAAAATATGACCCACAGTGCGATCAAAACAACTTGTAAGCCTTTTTTTATTACCGATGATGACACATAATAAAGCATCATTTGGCTACTATATAACTCGAGTCAGTGTCTGTTTGTGTGCGTGTGCATGTATGTACAACAAGTATATACCACCAGACCAGGCCAGTAGTCAACGAATCAGCAGCAAGCAGATTGGCAGGCAAACGCCAGCAATAAACATATGGATATAAACTGTGAGGCGTTCAGTGTTGATTGATTAATTAAACGTTCATTTTTTGGTTTTCAATTGTTTTTTTTTTGCCATTTTGTGATGCTTGCCCCCATTGTGATCTTATGATTTTTATTGTAGCATGACCTTGATTGATCAAAAAAACAGAAACACTCAAGCTCATATCAGCAGTAGTCATCTACACAAAATTGTATGTCTAATTAAAGACAAACCACAATCTAATTATGGGGGGATGAATTGGGTGGGGGTTTCGAGCGTCTGAATTCAAATACTTACCAACAAATGCTTTGAGTTCGTAATCCACACCGCAGGATTTTCCTGTATCTCCAGGGGCAGGTTGTAGCGACACTGATGCCGGACAATATGGAGGAACTTCAAAGTAAAAAGGATATGCATTGGGTCCCAGCTTTTTTATCAGCCTCTCTTGCAGCCGTGTCAACGGTCGTTCACTTTGGGTCGGTGGATATATTTGTTCGTTGGCCAAATACAAATCCTTGCGAAATGTCAAACCCAATACATCCAAATCCTCGCGTCCATATCTAAATGCAGCCAAAACTTGGCCGAAAACTTTGCGATCTTTAACATATTCTGGATCAATGAATACAACACCATCGATGGGATCAACATGTGTGCTGTGATCGACAAAGTCTCGCTTGCCCAGATACACGGTAATTTTGCCATTGGAGGAGCTTTTCTTAAATACCCGTGTTGCTTGTCGTCTGGAATTTGCATCAGCATCACCACCTGCAGCACCACCACCGACTTGGTCGTCACTGGCTGAAGAAGGGCGTATACCTGTAATGCCACCACTGCAATTACCAGTGCTGTTGGCGCTAAGGCTATTCATTGCACTCCTTGTATTTCGTTGGGTGTGAGTTTATGTGTCTGTGTATGTATGATACACTATGTTCTTTTCCAAACCAGAGGGTTTAATTACTCTACTTTTGTTAAAAAAAATTGTTGAGCTGTTAAAAACTGTTGTGCGGAGGGTAGCGACCGGTAACCTAAGAATCCAATTCTATACTCAACAATTTTCTTCGTATAAACGTCGTCGTCGTAGCTATCGTTCTTTTATTACAGCAATTCATTGATAATTTTGCGCACGTTTGCTTTTGTTTTAATTCCTATATATCCTTGTGCTTTGCATTTTCGGTTTTTTTATTTTTTTAATTCGTTATATTGGGTCTGATGTGTGTTTTTCTTTTGTTTTTTCTTTATTTGTTTAACTGTTATGAACTTATTTTTAAAAAATCTCCAGTAAGAAAACTGCGTATTCGCCTTCTGTTATAAAAATGAAAATGACAAACCAAATGTCATTTTTTGACGATACTATTTTTTATGTATACTGTGACGTCACCGTCTAAAACATCCGACAACACCGGCAGTAGCTGCCACATTAGTAACGATAAAATCAGCTGTTGGCCATAATGGCATAGTACTATGTTTACACATGGTACAATGAATTCAAGGCAAGTTATAAGTTATAGCCATGGTACAATTAAAAGGTAAGGTAGAGCTAACAGCTGATTACAATTTTTTTCTAAGTGTGCCCGACTTCTGCCAGTTATGTGTATGTATTTATTGTTTTGAAAAATGAAAAAAAAATATTTTCACAACACATGAATTGCGGCTCGCGCATTAAAGCTATTAACCAGTACAGCCATGAAACTAAAAGATTGAACAGTTAGGATCATATTTTTGAGAGAAAGTCTAGACATTTTATTCATTTTTCGCGGTATTTGACTCATTTAAAAAAAAATAAGGAAAAATATGAAAAAATTAAAACAATAATTTTAAATGAGTCTGACAGGAAGCGGGCATAGCCTCAGGGCTGTATTTTTGTAGTTTTACGAAGCTGTTCTACCTCCTTATTGTACCATGGTTATAGCTAACCCATAAACTTTATTTTTATTTGTATCAAATCAAACATTGTTTTTCTATTAATGAAACTTTAAAAGTTACGTTTAATTATTTTTGTAACTTCAAATCTACTAATAACAAATGCAGCAAATAATTTTTTTATTTGACATTTTTCTCCCAATATTTTTATATAATCGCGAAAAGCGAATGGAAGGCAATGGAGTTTTGCACAATATCACCCATGGACCAATTGTAAGGTCGACAAGTAGGACCACCTGATACCTACATTTTCTGTCAACATAATTTGAATTTGCCTGGCAACTACAATAGATGTCAATAATACTGTCCGTTTTTTTCTGTCAAGATATTTTTTATTTAAATTTGAAAAACAAAAGAACAATTAGGAATGATTTATTAATTTATATGATTTTGGTCAAAAGAATGAGATCGCAGTGAGTGAACTGATTTTTCTATGCAATTTAATTACTAATTTCAATCTTTTGCGCAGCCATAAAATAAAAATACACATGTGCTGTGTATCTAGCTATGGCAAGAATACCACATTTAAAGATAAAAAAATTCGTAAGACATGGCAAGAAAAGAATGATCTTTGTTCAAGAACCTCTGTTAAATCCCAGCCTCCCAATATATACAAACATTTACAAATGTTGTCAAAGGTTCGATTGTAAAATACCACCCATTTCTCTTGAAGGTGCATCCGAAGACCCGAGGACCGCAGACTTAGGGCTAACTTATAACATTGGATGAGTTAGTTTTAATTTACAATAAAATCTTGATCGATCTATTAAATACGCCATGTGTATTTGTTGTGTTTTACCTTTCGAGGGTGTTTAATGCTTACGGAAAACAACGTTAGAGGACTTGAGACTTAACAGTGATTGTATGTCATCACAAGATGAAAGTTGGTGCCAGAGAGACTATACTTATTTTATTTGACAGCAGATAATGCTTATACCGGCTTCGTGCTGCTTTTCTATTTAGAACAATTTATTATAATTTTTAGTATTATTATAAGTCATTAATAATAATAATAATAATAATAATAATAATAATAATAATAATAATAACAATAATAATAATAATAATAATAATAATAATAATAATAATAATAATAATAATAATAATAATAATAATAGTAATAATAATAATAATAATAATAATAATAATAGTAATAATAATAATAATAATAATAATAATAATAATAATAATAATAATAATAGTAAAAATAATAATAATAATAATAATAATAATAATAGTAATAATAATAATAATAATAATAATAACAATAATAATAATAATAATTATATATTACTAAAGGCAAAAAAATCTTATTGAAGGTCAAACGATATTCTTAATCAGTGGATACTCTTAACCGTTTGTGTTAGCTTGTACAATCGAATGAAAGAGGTAACCCGAGTTTAAAGCCCAATCAATCAAATCAATTGGTCATTTTTAACACGGGTAGCAATTGTGATTCTTCTAAGTTCTCAAGATATTATGGTTCAAAGTTCCGTCAGAACATTTGCGTTATATCCCAGTTTTTTAATCCGACCATTACAAAAAGCTTATGAATCCTCCAAAACTATAGGCATATGCAGCAACAATGGTAGAAGAAAACAGGTAGATGTATCAACGCTTGGGAACATTGATATATCAAATTTTTAAGAATATTTTTCTGTTTTTTTTTTCTTTTCAACAAATACAAATTCATATTTACAAATTTCAAAAATTTTTCTTTCAAAATTGGTTAGACAGCAGCAGCGTCGATGCGACTACCATGGAAACAACATTCAATTTTATACCGAAGATCAGAGAGGAAGGTTCTTCATATTCATTTTGCATTGGCCAACTTCCAAAGCAACAAAATAAAGGCAAATAGGTTTCAAAAAAACATTGACATTTATCATAATATTTTTTAATTATATAAAACATTTATTGCCGAACACTATAAAAGCAGAAATTCGCTGATATATTATTGTGTCGAAGCGAATATATAGATTTTTTTGCTCTATTGGCAAAATTTAACAATAAAACTATACTCGTTCTGACATTTAAAGAAAAAATGTATTGAGGTAGTTCCTATTCCCTACCTTTTCTTCATTGTACCATGGTAAAAAATAAATGCAAATTGAAGAAAGTGCACATAAATGAACATTGGAATTCCCTTTTATTACTTTTTACCGGGCGAATTTAGCCGAATAAAAATAGCACCATAGTTGCCAGTTTCTGATTGGCTGAAATGTTAATTTTGAAATCGAAAAAAAAAAATCGAAAGAGTTAAATAGCCGAAAAACATACAAAATGTCCATGGTAAAATTAAAAAGGTAAAGTCCTTTCAAACAAGACTATCCATCTCTGTGTTTTCTGAAATTTACCTTGTCAAAATTCAATTCATTTATTTTTTACCATGGTACAATGAAGAAAAGGTAGGGCATAGGAACTACCTGAATACATTTTTTCTTTAAATGTCAGAACGTGGAATTAAATCAGAAAACGTCGTATCGAATGTGTCACTAGTATTACTATAGAGTCACATCATCTGGGGATTGCTGCTACCTGTAATAATTATACCATGATCGCATTCATATAAAATGTTTATTGTAAACGTTCTATAAGCAGTATCTTACGTTACAGTATCTACTAATCGGTTCCCTGCTGTGAAATGTCACAGGTGCATTTTTTTGTTATCGATATATTGTCTCTGACATTACACAAACTGGTGTAGCTTGCATACATACATACATAGTTTATTCTGCATGTGAAAAAGCCGCGTCAAATAAGTATTTTTATATAAAATTTCGTGAAAGTAGATTAAACAGTAGAAAAAAAAAGAAATACAATGGCTGTAAGTATAGCCTTCAGCGCTGTAAGTATTCCACTTAAATACAAAAAGTTTTGAAAGTCAATTAAAGTTATTCATGTTATTCGTATGGACAGCAATGCATTTTGATTATTCTTGGCGATTGTTACAAAAAATATATATCCGTGTATTTTCTCTATTAAAATATATGTATTTTTAGCAACCTACCAAAGTTTTTGTTGGTAGCTTACCTCCAGGCACAAAACCAGAAGAACTTCGTCATTTGTTTGAAAACTATGGTGTAGTCGTCGAATGTGATGTCATGAATAGATGTGGATTTGTACATATGAAGAATCCCGCAATGGCGGAGAAAGCTATTCAGGCTCTGAATGCCAGTGAATTTAAGGGACAATCAATTGTTGTGGAACACGGTCGACCAAAGGAACGCGGTGGTGGCCCACAAGGTGGTGGACCTAATCAAGTTGGTCGAGGGGGTGGACCCCAGCGTGGTGGCGGACGAGGCGGTGGTAAGTTGTAAACAAACAAATGCTTGTAATCTGAAATTGTTAATAATCGTTACTAATCTAATGGCTCTGAGGGAAGCCAACACACGAGTAGATGAAGACGACGTTAATTTTTGTTTTAATGGCATAACTATCAATTTTGTATTCCTTTTTTCCCATTATTCATTCCATAAATGTTTTAAAGTTGGCTTCCCTGGCAATATACAGCATTCGAATAAAGCCAAACAAGTGGCCACATTGCAATTGGCCAGCGTCATATTGGATTTGCTAAATGACCAAAACCAAACCGAAAATATTGCAGGTGGTGGCGGAGGAGGTGGTGGTTTCCTTATAGGAACGGGCTCTGGTTCAGGTGGTGGACCAATGGGAGGAGGTGGTCCTCGTGGAGGTCGTTCAGGAGGCGGAAACTTCCAGGGCGGACGTGGCGGTGGTCCCCAAAATATGAGTGGTCCTGGTCCAATGCGCAATCAGGGCTTTAAAAATGAACGTTCTGCCCCATATCCATCACAAAACATGAATGCGGGAGGTCCACAAGGAGGTGGTAAATTTAATCAAAATAGATCTGGCGGAATGGGTGGAGGAGGTCCTGGCGGCAATTTTGGCCAAAATAGAGGTGGAAATTTCAACAATTCCGGAGATAATGGAAATTGGAATAATGTCAGTGGCGGTCTCGGCCCTCGTGGCGGCCCAAATAGAAGTGGTGGAGCCGGCAGTGGTAATTTCCAAAATCAAGGCCGAGTAGGCGGTGGTGGTGGATTCAATGACAACTTTTCAAGTGGCTTCAGTGGTAATATGAACAATGTCCCAGCCGGTAATTTTGGTGGGCAACAAGATAGACGTGGCTTTACATTGCCCACGAATCAACCACCCAAATACGGTGTTGCTGGCAACCAACAAGGAAGTGGTTTTGGTGGTGATTTAGGATTTGGCAACGACGATGGTCTCTTCCAAAGGAGAAATCATAACGGACCTAACATGTAAGTGTTGCAATGTACCGTAAAAGTTCGATAAATCGCAAGTCGGTGTTTTAAATCTGTCGGTCTTTTTAGGAACTAATTTTTTTATTTCCTCTGAAAATTGTATTTTTTTATCCATTTTAGGGGTGGTGGTCCTGTTGGCGGTAATAATATGGGCGGTGGCAATTTCAATCGCGGTGGAAACCGTGGTGGCGGTTTTAATAATCGTGGTGGCCCAAATGGCGGTCCAGTTGGTTCGCCACAACAACAAGGAGGCTTTAAAAAGAACTTCGCTTCAAATAACATGAATGTGAGCGATGACTATCAACAGCAATTCCCACCATTAAGTAGCGGAAACGATTTTCCTCAACAAGGAAACTTTGGGAACAATCGAGGAGCAAACGTAGGTCATCGTAGTGGTAATTTTGGAGGTGGATTTAATCGTGGCGGAAATACGCAAGGCAACATGCCACGAAATGGTGGTCCATTGGGAAGAGGCAGTTTTGGAGGAGTCAGTGGTGGTGGTAGCGGTGGCAATATGAATCGGTAAGTTTATCCTTTTTTATTAAAAAAAGGTAGTTCTTTTGTGGAAAGGGAAGATAAGGTTTGAAGTCATTGTACCTTTATTCAGCCAAAACTTATCAAATCTGGCAACTGTTCCATATATAAATTCAGATTTTCATTTGTAGGATAGTATGAAAATCTTATATTGTTTAAATAAACAAAAAATAAAAAGCAATTCACAATCATGCGAAAGACGGGTTTTACCAGTCTATAACAAATATTCTAGTGTATAGAAATGGTCAATTCTTCTATATTGAATATATAACAATTTTCTGAAATTTATTCAAGCATCGAATAATATATACAAAGGAAAAATATTAATTAGATCAAGCATGCGATATATGGAACCGAGCTTCCAATTCTAGTTAAATGGGCACATATTTTAAATGGAATTAAAGTAAAGCCTTTTTTCAACTTAAATTGCCGTGGTAAACAGTCCAATGTAACCACGAGTCCTCTAGGTCCTCATAATAATATGACTAATTTAAGAATGATATCAAATTATCTAAATAAACGAAACTAATCGACACATTTTATATATTCTTTTAAACAGCAATGCACCACGACAAAATATGCCAAATCGCCGCTATTAAGATAAAATCCATATTTCGAAAACATGAAAAATTAATTTAGTTTTTCCATATTATGGAATATACAAATAGAGCGATTAACATAATCTAAACAAAATTGCGATATTTAAAATACAAAAAAGTGGAACATGCAATGGAATACAATCAACAACATAGAAATAGGTATCCATGTAAAGTATAAATATCTCAAGAAATCAGAAGATAATATGCCATGCGAAAGGCACGTATTACAAATGTCATCTGGCTGATAGGTTATTTAACTATATCATATACATCTAATTATAAATGACCTTAATACTAGAAAACTACAATCATTGTGTGATTGTTCTTATTTACACATTTAGTTAATTTTTCCTTCACTCCATTATACGGAGATCTAAAACGAAATTCTATGTTCTATTAACCCAGACAAATAACAATGTTGTAACAGAAATAATTTATTGACATCGTAAAACACACAATTTTATAAGACATTTAACAATGCGTTTTAAAATAATCTAACAAAAAAATATATATATAAAGCCCTCCCCCTAAAAAAGAAATGAAGAAAAATATGCGTTTTAATTAAAATAAGTTTATGAAAAGGCGATAGGCAAATGCAGAATACAACTTTCTTAATAAACGGCAAGTGTTTCGTAAGTACTACAGTTGTGTAAACAATTCATAACCGACACATAGAATGGGGACTTGAATTCAAAGACCAATTTCAATGTTCAGAGTAATACCGGTGGGTTTACTTAAATATACCAAAACTAGATATATTTAAGATATTGATCTTTCAATGGCATTTATAGCATGCATCCAATAGCACGGCAATCTTGGCCTATGTAAGGTCGGCCAGTAAGCCTGTGAGACAACTAAGTTTGTTGTCAAAAGACATTGCAATTTGAAATCCTATAAGAATCAGATAGCAATAGTGCAAAAAATACAAAGTTTATTGTCAAATTGTTATATTCTTGGCCGACCTTATATGAGAGTAAACGAAAGTCTACGTTAAAAAAAAAGAGAGGATAGGCTTGAAGTAAGTAACAAATTATAATAAAATTGAAGTTTTTATTCACTGTAACATAGTTTGCCCGCTCAAAGAATGAATTACGTAGAATACATAACTTAACATTTATGAAATACTTTTGATCTATTCCAGAACTGCAAGAATGCTAGCATTTCTACTACGACGACTAATTTTTCCTTTAAAAAATTGCAAAACTAGTAGATTCTTGTAGGTTCTGGAACATATCTTAGCTACTTTTATTAATAATAATTAAAAAATACCGCCAATTATCAATATCTTCATTTAATTATTTTCTTTACAGGAGACGTTTTTAAAAAACTCAAACGTGCAATTAAAATGAACGAAGTTTAGGATCTTTAAATAATTTTCTTTTAAAAAGTACTAATCATTCATGGATAACTTACGAAATATTTCAGAATTCACAGGTGAGGTAGGACAATAACTCAACGTTAAAAAAAGCTAAAGTGAATTTTGAAATCTAATTTAATATGTCTTAATTTTATAAGACTTTTAATTTAAAAGTATTTTAAAAAAAGACTGTAGCAAGACACTTGTGCCTACATCTTTACAAAAAACATATAAATATGTAGTTTTATTTAAATACAGTTTTAAATATATACATAATCTAATATAAAAAATAAATAAAAAGTTTGTTTTAATAAAAAAGCGTAATCTCAATTAAGATTTTTAAACTTGGAAAGGAATAGATAACAATACCGAGGTTTTTATACCCCCACCACACAGGGTGAGGTAAAAAAACTGCAACAAAGTCCAAGGCCAACATTTTTACCTTTTTTTTTTAATTTTTTTTCAAAAAAATCAAAAAATGTCGGAAATAGCATCAAATTTTAAAATAAATTTAGATTTGTTCGAATTGGTCACCTTTGGCACGAATTATGGGCTTCAAACGGCCAATTAAACCGTCACACGCTGCCCTAATATTGCTCTGCGGTATTTTGGCCAATTCCCGGCGAAGCGCTTGCTTGAGGTGATCGACACTTGGGTATTTTTTAGTGCCAACCTTGCTTTCCAAAATACTCCGGACACAATAGTCCAACGGATTGGTATCCGGAGATTTTGGTGGCCACACCATCACCTTGGCCGGCGCTTGAGTTCTGTTGGCCAGCCGAAGGTGCACATTTTCAGCTGACCTCTTTGGCAAGTAAACACGATAATTTTGTTTGTTTTCAAACTGCTGGACAACGAATGTTTTCTCATCGGAGAAAACCAAATTCGGCAGTTCACCACTCTCGGCCAAGCGAAGCAACTTTTTAGCTCTTTTGAGTCTATTTTCTTTCTGGTGCGGTTTAAGTTTATGCACTTTTGGGAATTTCAATGGTTTTACCCCGAGCTCATTTTTCAATATTTGCCGAATGGAATATTGCGATATGTTCAGCTCACGAGCCATTTTTCGGCCACTGCGACATGGGCTTAAATCAAGTCCTGTTTTCTTGCGTCCACTTCCTTGACATCGGGCTACGCTACCAGGATCACGGTAACGGTACGAAACACAAAAGATTTACTCACATTTTGTAAGCTTGTAAACAGTATAATGAGCTGTCACTGGAATCATTTTAACATCTGTCGGACGAATGGCTTAGAAATGACAGCAGTCTGTAGTTGGTTGCCGTTTTTTCATCTCACCCTGTATATTATAGTGGATGCTATATTAAGTTTGTCATTCTGTTTGTAACTCATCAAAATACTTATTTCAGACATAATAAGTTGAATAATTATTGATCCACATAAAAGCCTAGGTCGATTTCGCCATATCAGTCCGACTGTTGTAATCACGAAAGCATTCAAAATGGGAGCTAAGATTTTGTTGGGGCTGCCGTTTTCTCTCCATTAAAGTGATCATCGGTCTACGTGTAGGCATGGTCCGCATAAGGAATAAGTTCGGTTTATGTTAAATTTATGCTTTCTGCAATTTTCGAACAGAAGGGTGTGACATTTTCTGTTCTTTTTTCGATTCTTTTTTTTTTCTTAGAAAGAAAATAAAGTTACCTTAAAGAACGTTTAAATATAAATCTTCATTCGGGATAACCCTGATAATTCATAAATCACAATAAATTTGACTGTGGAAAGAATAGTATGTTGTGGTTGGTCTATTATCAGGGTTAACTCTGTCAGAACGATTTTGCTGGACCATAGAGTAATGAAAATGTAGACGAAAGAAATGCTCTCACGCTTATTATCGAAAAAAATCGGATCAGCATATGTCGTCTATATTGTTTCAGGGGTTTAGGCGAGAATACTGAAGTCAAAAAATTATAAAATGTTCAAAATATCATAAACTGTAGGATATTTGTCCGTGGAAAATTGTTCCATAATAAAAGATAACTACGTGATGACATCAAAAAATATGGGAATAAATCAAGTAATAAATCAGATCGACTGCTTAAATCAGAATGCTGACTATGCAAAAGCGTGCTGAGAACAACTTGCATAAAAAAACTAACTTCCCGGTACCTCTAAGAATCTACTATTTTGGCAATTTTCTTCGATACCTATCATAAATGGAAAATCGGTTATCGCAGTAAAAACTTATATTCTTGCAGTTCTGGAACAGACCAATTCATTAGTCTATGGCTGGATAATACAATGATTGAATACCAAATAATATTTTTTTTTTAATCTATTGAATAAAAAACCAAATTGTTTAAAAACTGTCTTCGAATTCTAAGTTTTATTTGTTTGAGCCACTTGACCGCGATGTTGATGATACGTTTGTACTCCATATAACCGAGATGAGTAAAAAGACGTCTTGAGAGAAACTCACAAGAATCACTCATTCTCCGTCGTTATTAATGGAGTGTAAAAGTGTAAACAGAAAATATCAACGCCGTTGGGTAGATGCAGTAGGCACTGACAATCTTATCTTGTAGGGTTGCCAATATATTTTGCTATTTTTTTTTTCCAAAAATCCCCTAAAATATATGAAAATTCAAATTTTCAAATTTAATGTAATAAAAATGTTTGGATTTTTTTAAAAATTAAACAACTTAATTTTTAATTTAATTTTTTTTTTTAATTTTGTTTAAATATATCACATTATAAACCAAAATACCTTATGTGGAAAAAATATTAATCAAATATATGTAGACAAATTTTCCATATTTCTTAAATGTATCCCCCGTTTGTTCAAGACTCTCCAATACTGGCAACGCCAGTTGGATTTCACACTCAGTTCGCGAAAAAAACAAAAACATTTTTCAGTTGTTGTTGTGTGGGGATACCGAGCATTCAGGCGTTGATATTAGACGGTGTTTTTAGTTTGTGTCTATTGTCGTCGTCGTTTCGTCAAATAAGAAAACAACAGTACACTACACTGCTTCTTTGCGACGGGCATGAAGAATTAATGCAGACAACAACCTCTCAAATTACCAAATTAGGATATACAAAAATTCCGAGTTTTTTCGTTGTGCCAAAAGGCATATTTTTAAGTTAATAAAACAATCGCCGCCGTGCTGTGTGTAAAAGTGAAACTTATAAATCAAGAATTATGCAAAATCATAAAATGTCTTTAATAACAAAAAAGCAAACACCTTCAAAATGTCATCACAGCAGTTCTCCTCGTTGTTGTTGGTATCTACAACAACGTCCATCGCAAATTGCATATTCTTGCTTGTTGTTATTTTTGGTCATATTCAATACGATTGAGGTCTCGTCGTCTTCGTCTTTTTCGGACATTAACAATATGCCCACCTCCACAGCAATGGGTGAGCAGCAGCAGCAGGAAGAGAGTGATATGTTTTCCACTGACGTTGAATTTTCGCACAAAGAAGCAACAGCTGGTACAACAAATCTAAAAGGAAAATTAGTTTTTGCCCATGTGGTAAGTTTTTGGATATATGGCACATAAATATTTGCGCCTTGGATATACATTTCTAATTTGGGTAATCCACCTTAGATCTATCGCCATGGAGACCGTACACCCATTGAACCTTATCCCACAGATCCTTGGCGTAAACCGGAATTTTGGCCCACTGGCTGGGGTCAATTGACAAATGTAAGTTTTGATTACATGCATTTTTTCAAATGTTAAATTGTTTGCTTTATTTCATGCGAGGGTATTAACCTCTGAATCAGTTTTTTTTTAATTTTAATACGGTCTTGCAACCCCATTTATTAGTCATTGATTGTATTCAACACTAAATCAACAAAACTTGTTTTGGGATTTTACTATTTAACAATGCAAGCCAGACGTGCGTTTTTTTGGGGTCGACCTTCAAAAACAACGACGAAATGTGTGATATTCAGTTGTTTGTATCGAAAGTTACATTCTCTTATAAGTGGGTGAAATCTTGGCGGGCTTTGTTGTTAAATCGTGGCTTTCTTTTTAAAGATTATTACACAATCTTACGTTGTTAAAATGCTTTTGCATCGCAACATGTGTTTAGTGTTTAAACTTGAATTTAACGGAGACGGAATCGATTTAGATTGTATTAAACCAAACTCAAGTGCATAGTTGATTTGAAATTTTAAATTTCAACAAAGGCCATTAGAATTATGATTCAGAAACAGCGTTATTGTATTGTACTTTTTTCTATCTACTTGTTATTTCTTATGTCAAGTAGTAGCTACTTATTTCGAGTCATATGTCCTTGTTAAAACAATGGGTTATTAGTTTGATTTGTAAAATCACACGAGCGATAAAAATTGAAACAGAACTAGCAGAGGAATAACAACACAGGTCGACGTTTTCCAGCTTTTATTTAAAGATGTCTCCGGAATTTAGTTAATGCGAGATTGTGTCGATTGGTTCAAAAATTTTTACTTTTCCAAATTTAATGTAATTTTTTTTATATAATGTAAACATCGGGTGTACTATATGGGGGCAACTCGGAAATATATACTTATATTAAATATCATCCCAGATATAAGCAACATAAGCAGTTGTATGGGTGTATATTTAATAATTATGCACTTAAGGGTCACCAGAAAAATATTCGTCACCCCATCTGGTTTATAATGTTCATTATAGCTCATTGCCATTGTTCTGTTCACCAGGGTGAGATAAAAAAACTGTAAAGTCAAACGCCATAATTTTTACATTATTTTTTTTTTTAAATTTTACTGTCGAATATAGCATCGAATTTTAGAATAAGCTTAGATTTGTTCGATTTCCTCACATTTGGCACGAATTATGGCCATCAAACGGCCAATGAAACCGTCACTTTCCCGGCGAAGTGCTTGCTTGAGGTGATCGACACTTTCATATTTATTAGTGCCAACCTTGCTTTCCAAAATACTCCAGATACAATAGCTCAACGGATTGGTATCCGGAGATATTGGTGGCCAGTGTGGGCTGGAAATGAAGAGAGGAACCTCATTTTGTAAACATTTCGGGTGGCGCGTGCTAAGTCCTGTTGGAATGTCCAAGGCCTGCAGCTAAAATGTTTGTGTGCCCAAGGCTTTAATACACCCTTCAGAATATTTTCGCGATAATATTCGGCATTTATTCTGATGCCACAGTAGATTAATAGAGCGACCATCGGCTGTTATGGCGGCCCATACCATCACCATGGCCGGCACTTGAGTTCTGGTGGCCAACCGAAGGTGCAAATTTTCAGCTGACCTCTTTGGCAAGTAAACACGATTATTTTCTTTGTTTACAAACAACTGGACAACTAATGTTTTCTCATTGGAGAAAACCAAATTCGGCAGTTTACCACTTTCGTCCAAGCGAAGCAACTCTTTAGCCCCCTATTTTCTTTCCGTTGCGGTGTAAGTTCTTGCATATTTTGGAATTTCAATAGCTTTACCCCGAGCTCATTTTTCAATATTTGCCGAATGAAATATTGCGATATGTTAAGCTCATGAGCCATTTTTTCGGCCATTTCTGCTGATGTTGCTGTTTTCTTCCGTCAACATCCTTGACGTCGGACCACGCTACCAGTATTACGGTAACGAGCGATGGTACGATACACAAAAGATTTATTCACATTTAAATGCTGGAGTGCTCTACCGAAAGCCACTTGTGGTTTTCCAGCCAAATATAAAGAAATCACACTATCACGCTTGAATTCCATCACGATTAACTTTTTTTCTGGAAAATTCTCACCAAAGTGCTTTTGTACGCATGTAAACAATATAATGAGTTGTCACTGGAAGAATTTTTGGCTGTAGTTTTTTCATCTCACACTGTATTTATGTTAAACTTGTATCACATAAAAATACTGAATACCCAGTTATCCTTTTCCTATAATTGTTAAAGTAAGACACATTTCACGTGTAAAATACAGGGAACATTTTTTAATCAGTGGGCTACAATCAACTTTTTTGTTTAATTTCAAAATCAATGAGCAAACTAATATTTACAGATGTGTGATGATGTCACGTGCACTTCTCTTGTAATTTGCTGATAAGATTTTATTAATAAAAAATTTGCACATTTTCAAACATTCCCCTCACAGAATGCATTTCAAATGTATGCCCTACTCAGACAACAGTGAGCTCTTACTTTGTTGTCAACTAAGTAAACAATTGTAATAATCAATAAATAAATAATAAGGAATTGATAACAGTTTTTACTGATAAATACGAAACGAAACATAATATATATTTATTACCTTTGTAAAGATGTTTATTTTGTGGGCATCACTCCCACAATCTGGAAGCGATATTATGTACTGTCTGCTGTTTGTACATCTGTTTTAGAATTTATTATTTGCATTTTTCTGAAATAAAAACGTTTGTTATCTCTTCAAACTTCCGCGGTAGTTAATTTTTGTTTACAAAAACAATTTAGAAAACTAAACACAGGAAAAAATAGCAATTCTATTATTTGATTACAGCAAAAGGGAAAAAACACTTTTCTACAAAATTCATTCTTTCAATAATTACAAGAAAAATAGTAGATTATGGAAAGAGCTAAAAAGAAAAGACACTCGTATCGTCATTTTGAACGTTACATCGCAACGTAACCTGAATAAAGGGGACAAGTTCCGGTGCCTTCCATTGTTTTTTTTAAATTTTCGATGAAAGATTCTTTGGAGCTCATTTTCACCCCTATTATGAAAATTATTTCCCATAAATTTTGTTCCCATTTCCCATTGTTGTTATAATGCTTTTTTTTCCAAGTTGACAATGTTCGAATATGAATTCTCGTATTATGAATCGAAATGGGAATTACGTTTTTTTTCACATTTAGTAACATTTATTCCCTTTGAAATTGGATGGGAACATTTTTTTTTAAATAAAAAATGTCTGAAATGACATAGGAAAACAATTTCACAGTTATCAGCAAATATAATTTAATGTTCGAAAATATCAGCTGATTTTACTTGTTCCCATAATTTGGTAATAGCAAATCAATGTGAATGGGGCTTCCCACGAAATTGCATTTTGTGAGTGGGAATTCGCATTTCCTTTGTGAATGGGAACTCCCATTTATTCTGTAAAACTGGTTATCAAATACTGTATGAAGGCTTTCAACCCTCAAATATTCATCAAATACTGCATTTTTCCTGTAATTATTTTTGGTGTTGCACGTTGGACTAAAATACAGGGTGAGATAAAAAAACCGCAACAAAGTTAAACGCCGTAATTTTTAAATTGTTTTAAAATTTTATTGAATGAAAGCAAAAATGTCGGGAATAGCATCAAATTTTAGAATAACTTTAGATTTGTTCGAATTGGTCAACAATGGCACGAATTATGGCCTTCAAACCGTCACACGCTGTCCGAAACCGTCACACGGGATATTTTGGCCCATTCCCGGCGAAGCGCTTGCTTGAGGTGATCGACAGTTTTGTATTTTTTAGTGCGAACCTTGCTTGTTTATAACTACTGGACAAAGATGTATTCACCTTTAAATGCTGGAATCCTCTATCGATAGCCACTAGTGGCTTTCCAGTCAAATATAAAGAAATCACACTATCACGCTTGAATTCCATCACGAATATCCTTTTTTTTTTGAAAAATTTTTACCAAAATGCTTTTGTACGCTTGTAATCAATTTAGTCAGCTGTCACTAGAATAATTTTAACAGCTTAGACATGACAGTAGTCTGCAGTTTTTTCATCCATCCTGTATATACAATGTTTTTAAAAGATTCGCAATGAAAATAATCTCATAAATGTCACTTGTAATATAAGAATTTCGAATGCGATTTATTTGAAAACAATTATTCCTGTTTATTTTGAAATTTATAGAGAAATTTTCAGCAGATTATTTCTTCTGCTTTCATGCATCAACTCGAAAAAAAGATAATGGAAAATTTATCCCGACTAAAGGGAATTTTTCACCAGAATTGAAAAAAAGGTATCAAATTTTCGAAAATAATAATCTTTTTTGTTTTTATTAGTAATATTACCGAAGTCACTACATAACTAAAATAAACGGATTCCAAGGAATTTTTATACGATTTTTTTTGTCCCTCTGTTTTGGTTAATTTGCTATGTAAACCTTCGAAAAGCCGATACAAGCGCCTTCAATTTTTAGCTCTACTTTCATCAAATATTGCATTTTTCCTATAATTATTTTGTAATAATCACCATGTGACCAAACAATTACTACATCAAAATATAATATTTACAGAACATTTGGAAAAATGATTCTAGATCAGATACTCTAATACGAGAATTTTCTCCTTTTTCTCCGAAAATTACTTATTCTAAGAAAAGGATAAGGCGTTACTCTCCCATCAAAGATCGGTTAATAATGAGGAATAATCTCACTACAATGCTGTAAGATCTCTATCAGTAAGAGATGAGGACTCCGACCAAATGTTATCTATAGGCTATTTTTAAACATTTCCCGACCGTCCAACGTCAAATTAATTCCTATCATCGTGTGTTGTGCTTTTAAGAAAATCTTGTAAACATTGACTCGATTTCTATCGCATTCATTCAGTTTTAATGCTTAGAATCTTCCTAATTTTTTTCTATTATTGCAGGTATTTTTTTAAATCCTAACTTGTCAAATCACTTATTAACAAATTGTCTTTTAATATTATTAAAAGCACCAACAAAATAACAAGACATCTAATTTTATCATTAATATTCT